GTTGTATTTCTCTACTATAAATGAATCACCCTATGTGTGATTTATACACGAGGAAATTAATTCCAAACTATATTTTCTTTATATTCAACATGGTATCTAGAGCTTAAGGTTATCTTGAATTTTTTTTCCGCCTTTTGTCCACTATTGGAGCCGCCCCACCACTGCTAGAGCCGCCCCACCGCTGCTGGTAAGCCGATCCTCCACATCGGAAAAGAATTATCTTTGTCATTGAATTTTATTTGGTAGTGTGAAAGTGCATGTTTAGGAAAGTTCCGGCAAGGAAAGACTTGGTATTTAAGTGTGTCCATTAGTGACCCACCTCTCTTTCCTGGGAACTTACCTAGTGTACTAGTTCACGTTATCGTCACCGCCAGCACTGGAGCGATCCATCAGGTCTGCCATTGTCGAAGAATTCGCCGGAGTTTCATTTTTTTTACCGGTGACATATGATTTTGCTTGTCTCGGTCGGGGTTTGTTCTCCCGCTCTTCATGACTTCTTCCACTATTTCCAATTTTGTTAACGATTCTTTTGTGTTGACATCCCATCGTGATGACCGGGCTCGCCCTCGCAAACAGGAAAAATGGCGTCCTAAGTGTGAACATTGTGGCAAGCTAGGTCACAAGATTAACAAGTGTTATACATTACATGGTCGTTCTCCTCGATCTGCTGTAGTTGTTCGGACCAATCTTTCCCCACCTTTATCCGTAGGGGATCTTCCTTCTTCTGTTGCATCCGACATGTCCGCTATGTTCAACAAATTTCTCGAATGGTATAAGGATCAACAGTCTTCTAGTTCCACTATATCTGTCACACATACAAATACATATTTTGCTTGGTCCGACCCAATCATTTTCTCCTGGTCCTTGGGTTTTTGATTCGGGAGCCACTGATCATATTACCGGTAACAAATCTTTGTTCTCCTCTTTATCCTCTCCTAATCATTTACCTTCCATTACATCGGTCGATGGCTCTAGAGTATCATCTCATGGTGTTGGAACGGTTAAACTCTTTCCTTCTTTAACCATTGATAATGTTCTTTATGTCCACTGGGTCTCCTTTTAACCTCGTTGTCCATCGATCGTCTAACTCGTTCTCTTGATTGTGTTGTTACTTTTACCAACAATTTCGTGTGTTTACGGGACCGGAGTTCGAAATAGGTGATTGGCACGGGATGTGAGTCTCATGGTCTTTATTATCTCCGTCCCTCTACACATGTTAGTACGGTTATGGAGTCTCCCTCTCTTTTTCATGCTCGGTTAGGTCATCCAAGCCTTGCCAAGTTACGAAACTTGTCCCTGCCTTGTCTAACTTATCTAGTTTGGCGTGTGAGTCATGTCAATTAGGCAAGCATAGTCGTACTTCCTTTCCTCGTAGTTTCACACGTGGTGCTTCGTCCCCTTTGCCGTGGTTCACTCGACATTTGGGGACCTAGCCGCGTTAAGTCTACTTTAGGTTTTCAATACTTTGTTACTTTCATTGATGATTATTCCGGATGCACTTGGTTATTTTTGATGAAAAATCGTTCGAATTATTTCATATCTTTCAAACTTTTTTTAATGAAATTCAAACTCGGTTCGGTGTTTCTATTAGAGTTTTGCGTAGTGATAATGGCCGTGAATATCTTTCTCATTCTTTTAAACAATTCATGGCTTCTCACGGTATTTTGCATCAAACTTCTTGTGCTTATACACCTCAACAAAATGGTGTAGTTGAACGTAAAAATAGACATCTTATTGAAACAACTCGCACACTTTTAATTCATGGAGATGTTCCTCAACATTTTTGGGGTGATGCTCTTCTTACTCGCATGTTATCTCATTAATCGCATGCCTTCTTCGGTTTTAGATAATAAAATACCTCATTCCATTTTATTCCCTCATGAACCACTTCATCCTTTACCTCCGAAAGTTTTCGAGTCTACATGTTTTGTTCATAATTTCAATTCAAGTCCGGACAAGCTTTCTCCTAGATCACATAAATGTGTTTTCTTAGGGTTTACAAGATCACAAAAAGGATACAAATGTTTTTCTCCTTCTCTTAACCGTTATTTTGTGTCAAAAGATGTCACCTTTGATGAGTTGTCTCTTTATTTTAAAAGTCAAACTTCACCTCTGTCTCCATCCAATCTTGTCAACACTCCTAATACATTTAATGTTCCCGTTGTTTGTGACCCTCTAATTGTGTCTTCTTCACCATTAGTTTACGCTCCATGAGTTAGCTTCTTCTCCACTGCCTCTTGATTTATAGTTCTCGAAACCAATCACAACCACCACCATGTGACTCTACTCAAGTGCCAACTACTCGTCTCCTCCGGATCCGACACATGAGTCCGACCTTCCCATTGCCCTCCGAAAAGGTATTCGTTCTACACGTAATCCCTCTCCCCATTATATTGCTTTGAGTTATCATCGATTGTCATTACCTTTTTATACATGTCTTTCCTCTATTTCTTACGTGACCATTCCAAAAGCGTACGTGAAGCTTTAGCCCATCCTGGTTGGCGTCAGGCCATGTTAGATGAACTAAGTGCTCTTCATAATAGTGGAACTTGGGAATTGGTCCCGTTACCGTCTGGGAAATTTGTTGTTGGTTGCAGGTGGGTGTTTGCTATCAAAGTTGGACTCGATGGTACTATTGATCGCCTCAAAGCTCGTCTTGTGGCCAAAGGTTATACTCAAATTTTTGGGTTGGATTATGGAGATACCTTTTCCCCTGTGGCAAAGATGGCTTACGTTCGTTTATTTATCGCCATGGTCGCTCTTCAACAATGGCCTCTTTATCAACTCGGATGTTAAAAATGCTTTCCTCAATGGTGATTTGCAAGAAGAAATATATATGGAGCAACCTCCTGGGTTTGTTGCTCGGGGGAGTCTTCCGGGATGGTATGTCGTCTTCGCAAATCCCTATATGGCCTAAAACAGTCTCCTAGGGCTTGGTTTGGAAAGTTTAGCAAGGTTGTTCAACAATTTGGTATGACTCGGTGTGAATCAGATCATTCTGTCTTTTATCGACACTCGAGTCGTTGGATGTGTTTACTTGATAGTATATGTTGATGATATTGTTCTTACAGGTAGTGACAACCATGGCATCTCTCGGTTGAAACAACATCTTTGTCACCATTTTCGGACCAAAGATCTTGGCAAACTTAGATATTTCTTGGGTATTGAGGTAGCACGAGTCCAATGATGGTATTGTTATATCTCGGAGGAAGTATGCCATAGATATTTTGGAAGAAACTGGGTTGATGAGTTCAAAGTCTGTTGATACACCCATGGATCCCAATACTAAACTTCTACCAAATCGGGGGAGCCTATATCGATCCTGAGCGAGTATAGAAGATTGGTTGGAAAATTGAATTATCTTACGAGTTACTCGTCCCGACATTTCCTTTGCGATCGGTGTGGTAAGTCAATTTCTTAATTCACCATGTGAAGATCATTGGAATGCGAGTCATTCGTATCTTGAAGTATATTAAAGGATCTCCTGGAAAAGGATTGTTATATGCTTCTAATAACCATACAAGAGTTGTTTGCTACTCGGATCGTCGATTAGGCGGGATCTCCTTCGGATAGAAGATCTACATCCGGATATTGTGTCTCCATTGGTGGTAACTTGATTTCATGGAAAAGTAAGAAACAAAGTGTTGTGGCAAGATCCAGGTGCGAAGCGAGAATATAGAGCTATGGCCTCGGCTTCCTGTGAACTTGTTTGGCTCAAGCAATTGCTTAGAGAGTTACAATTTGGAGATGTCACTCAAATGACACTTGTGTGTGACAATCGAGTCGCTTCTTCATATTAGTTCTAATCCTGTCTTTCATGAGAGGACCAAACACATTGAGATTGATCTGTCATTTTATTCGAGAAAAGATTATGTCCGGAGATATCAAGACCGAGTTTGTTAACTCAAGTGATCAGTTAGCGAGATATTTTTACTAAATCTTTACGGGGTCCTAGAATTGATTATATTTGTAACAAGCTTGGCACATACGATTTGTATGCTCCAGCTTGAGGGGGAGTGTTAGATATTGTTTATATATTATTTGATATTGTTAAGATATTGTTAGATATTGGTAACCACAATATCAAACAATATCTTCTGTTTATTCTGTTACTTTCGATTCACTCTTTTAGTTGTATTTCTCTACTATAAATAGACCACCTTATGTGTGATTTATACACAAGGGAAATTAATTCCAAACTATATTTTCTTTATATTCAACAAAGTTAAATTTTTATTTTGTTGTTTTATAAATCTCAGAATAATTTATGCAAGTTTAATAAAAATGTCTTCTTTCATTTTTTTTTAGGGTATAGGAAAAATAGATTTAAAAATATATTAATTTCTACCACGAAAATTTCTTTTGAAATTAATAAAGAGTCTAAATTTAATGAAAAATTGGTAGTAGAAATAAAAAATTACTTAGTATAAAATTATAAAATCTCTTAAAAAATCATTTAAAATTGATTACATTTTTTATTGTGTAGATAAAACAATTACCACCCTCTAAAATAAATTTGAACAATTTAAAATATACGAGGATATAGTTAAATTATTCAGTAGATGGTAAATTTTTGACGAAAAAATGCCTAAATCTTGAAAAATTCTCTAAATATATTTTTAAAATTAAATATCTTAATTGTTTTTTCGTAATAAAAAAATCTCATTCTCAAATTTGGTCTAGGTCGTAAATATCCTTAAGCGCCCTGAGACATTTTTGAAAAGAACGAAGGTTGGTGCTGGCCATAAAGAAGGAAGAGATTTTGCTGCAACGGATATATAATAGCACTGTGTTCTAGAGAGAGGTAATTTAGAAGACAATGATGAATCAAACTTTTTAAACTGACGATGATGGTAACTAATCCAATGAATCACAACGAATCAGCAATAGGCAAATCGCAAGAAATAAGAAAAGGGCCAAAAGAAAAGACGGAACTACAAACGAATCAAAAAGGTAGGGAAAAACCTATGGTCTAGCAAGGAATCTGTCGGGTGAACCATCTAAGAACTTTTACCGGAAGCTTCACAAGACTCACAGCCAAATTGGCCAATCCCGCGCAGCAGATGCAGCATGGGCACAAGCAACTCAATATGGATCTGCACGATTCCCATCACCACATTCAAAATTCAAAAATTGGGGCAAAGGGAAGAAAATTCATATCAAACCCAGATAATGTTTGTTTTTTCAGAAAGCAGAAGCAAAAGCAAAATAACTAAATGAAGAAAAATTAAGAAAAATTGAGACAAAAACACATACCCTAAAACCCAGATAACTGCACCAACAAGAGATATGATCAAGGCCACGAGAGCAAAGGGTAATCCGATCAAGAAACCAAGTGGCCTGCACTCGCAACCTTCCTCTCCCATGATCTCTATAGACTCTGTAGGTTCGGTCTCAAATTGACTTGGTTTTGTGAATGTGAAGAAAACCGACGAGGAGTGAAATTCGGGCTATATAAGCGAATAAGCGTGTTGTGTTGTGTTGATTTTTCAAATTAAAATTGTAGACAGACACCGCGTACGACTATTTCTACATTCGATAACAATAACGAGTAGGGTTTTGGAACATTATCCTCTATGGAATTGACCAATTTATGTGTCACCAAATCTCCAAGCACTTGGGGTTGTTGGGTTAGTTTTGGTATTTCAGTATATGTAAGTTTCCTTCGGTGTTTCGCAAATGGTATTATTTGCATAGGTTGTTGCCCGGTTTCTTACTTCCTTTTGTCGCTCGTTGACTTTATATATATAAATTTATGTTTTAAAATTAATATTTATTTTAATTTTCCTTTGTATTAGTAATAGATATATGTATAGGTGATTAATTTATTTTTGGAACTAATTGAAATAAATAGATATTCCACAGTGTTGGATATTGGTTCATTTGCTGTATCAGCTTAAAACAATTTTAAAATTTTTGTTTAAAAATAAAATAAATAAAAGTTTAATCGTATATATAATGTGAGTTTCTACCTTTCGTAGGAAATGGAATTTTAATAAAATAACGGTTATATTTAATCACTATTATCATACATAAAAATATAATTATTTAAGCAAGTGATATAGTCAAATCTAATTTAGTCTTCAAGTAAGAAAAATGGATAAACTAATATGATTTATATTTTAAAATGGATTATAATTTTTATTAAAAATTATTAGGTTAATAAAATCAATTTTGATTTTATTAAAAATTTTAAAAAAATTATTAACCTATCTATACAAAAATACTTCAATAAAAATAAAAATAAAAAAATATTTTTTTAAAATTTAAATTATGTTAATAAAATTATTTTTATTTAAGATATAATGATTTAATATAAAAATTATAAAATAATAAACCAATTCAATCCTAAAACAATAATTAATTTTTTTTATTCATTATCATTATTTTTTTTAATAATTTATTAATCTAAAGTATTAAAAATAATCTAAAGTAGTAATTAATTTTAATGTTAAAGATTATTAAAGACTTATTCTAATATCTATTCTCATTATAAATCCTTTTTTAAATTTATTTACATAATATATATAAAATAAATAATATTACTTTTATTTTTATTTAAAATTTATTATTATTATTTTATAAAATAACCATATTAACTTACCTAACCTAAGCTCATATAAGTTATTATATTATAGTCTAAACGAATCAAATCAATATAAATCTAATTCAATTTAGGTAATAATTTTTTTAGCAAAATTTGATCTATTTCTTAAATTTTTTGAGTTGATTAATTATACTAAACTTATTTTGACACCACTGGTAATAGATAAAATAAATATTTTTATTTTAAAAATACATAAATTATTAAATTAGATCTTTCAATCCTATATTTTTAATAAGGAAGTTGAATTTTAAATCAGAACTCATATTTTTATGTTTTTTATTTAATTTTATTAATGTCATATCTTAATTCATGCATTTAACTTAAGATTGTGAACTAAATTACGAATTTTTTTAAAATAAAAAAAATACAAGTTGTGATTAAAATTTTTAGTATGCTACTAATATGGTTTTGATATTTTTAGTATTTATATAGACAAAATATTTAAGTAAAACGTAAAAAACAAAAAGGACTCAGTCTAGCTTGGATTGACCCAGCCTCAAATGGGCTTGACATCCTATATTAGGCTGACCAGAGGCCCAACTAGTCCATTACTCCTAAAATATCATAATTAACTTTTATGATGATTGAATTACACTCTTAAGTGTATTTACATGTTTTTACAAAACAACACGTTTGTCAATGCCTTTAAGTAATAATTCAATTTAAATTTTATTATTATAAATTATCTATTTTTTTATTCTAATAATATATAAATAAGTAAAAGAAATTATCCTGAATACTTGACTCGTTGTGGGCTTATACGCTGCAGGCCCAACCTCCACCCAGTTTTCCATATATGTGGGCTTATACGCTTCAGGCCCAACCTCCACCCAGTTTTCCATATATGGTTGAATGGGCTTACTTAGACACCTTGACCCATTTACATAACTGTTTAAGAATAAAGTTCTAGTTTTCAACATAAACTACACATAGTATATTTTGACAAGTTAAAAAACAATAAGATATAAATTTTCAGCATAAAATAAGATTAGTTTATTTATTTATTTTTTTAATTCTAAATGCAAGGAACACTGCATCTTTTTCATTGTACAGTTTTTCTTTTCATTTTATAAACTAATCTTTTACTTAGGAAAATATTTGTTATTCCTTTTATATTTGTAAATTATTTTTAAGATGAATATACATGAAAAAAATTAAAATTAAATGAGAGATTAAAATAAGTAAACAATATTAATATTGATATTCAGATAATCAAATTCTTTATACACAGAATCTAACCCAAGTCTTCATAGCTCTTGTCTTAACATTTTTTCATATTAAGTAATAAAAGACTTAGTTTTACTTTAATATGTTTGTAATAAATGTATTTTATAATTAGAATACAAATATTCAATATATAAATTTTTCATCTTAACTTTAACGCTATGTTTGATTGAGACGAAAGACTATTTATACGGATGAGAAAAGAAGGAGAAGTTGTGTTTGAATAAATAGATTTGTACGGAATGAAAAGAAGAGAAATGCGGGATTTCTTTCAAGCTCCTCCCTCTCTCATGCGAAGAAAGAAGAGGAAAGTCACGTCAAAAAAGGGAAAAGACGAAGCTGTCCCTCCCTCATTCCGTCATAATTATTAAATATTATATTTAAATTTATTTGTATGATTAAATTTTTTTAATTTTTTGATTTATTTGATATTATAATTTTTTTTAGAAATTAATAACAAATTAGGAGGATAATAAAAATCTTAAAGATTATATGTATATAAGAAGAAATAATATTTTGATGTAAAATTATATATATATATATATATTCTAAAATATAATTTATATTAATTACTATAATATAAAATATATATTCCAAAATATAACTTATTTTCATTTATATATATATATATATTATAGAAATTAAAATAAATTATTTTAGAATATATAATTTTTCAAATAATCGATTACTTTTTCAAATAATCGAGATTTTAGATAGCGGTTCTAGAACCAACCGCTATTAAAAATATATATTAGATAGTGGTTAACGTGGAACCGCTATTATATGTTCACTTTTAAGAGCGGTTAAAATGTTAACCACTCTTAAAAGTGACACATATATGATAACGATTCCACTTTAACCGCTTTTAAAAGTAACATATAATAGCGGTTCCACGTCAACCGCTATCTAAAATCTATTTTTAATAGCGGTTAGTTCTAGAACCGCTATCTAAACTATCGATTATTTGAAAATATTTTGATGTAAAATTATATATATATATATATATATATATATATATATTCTAAAATATAATTTATATTAATTACTATAATATAAAATATATATTCCAAAATATAACTTATTTTCATTTATATATATATTATAGAAATTAAAATAAATTATATTTTAGAATATATATATATATATTAAATATAAATAATTTTCAAGTTGATAATTATTATTCTAATTTATGCAAAATATATATATATATATAATATATAATTTATTTAACATTAATTTTATAGTTATAATTTTTTTAAAAGTTATAATTATAAATGTGATTTTTTTAATTATATATTTATAATTTTTATAATATATAATTGATAAATAATTTTTTTTAATTTTAATTTAATATAATTTTTTATTTATAATTTTTTAATATATATTTGAGAAATTAATCAATTATAATCTATTATTTGAAAAATTAATCAATTCTAATCAATTATTTAAAAAACTAATCGATTATAATTAATTATTTGAAAAATTATCGAATATAATCGATTATTTAAAAATAATCGATTATAATCAATTATTTGAAAATATAAACGATTAAAAATAGATTTTAAGATAGCGGTTAACGTGGAACCACTATTATATGTTATTTTTAAAAGCGGTTAAAGTGGAACCGCTATCATATATATGTCACTTTTAAGAGCGGTTAACATTTTAACCGCTCTTAAAAGTGAACATATAATAAGCGGTTTCACGTTAACCGCTATCTAATATATATTTTTAATAGCGGTTATTTCTAGAACCGCTATCTAAAATCTCGATTATCCGAAAAAGTAATCGATTATTTGAAAAAATAATCAATTATTTGAAAAATTATATATTCTAAAATATAGTTTATTTTAATTTCTATAATATATATATAAATGAAAATAAGTTATATTTTGGAATATATATTTTATATTATAGTAATTAATATAAATTATATTTTACAATATATATATATATATAATTTTACATCAAAATATTATTTCTTCTTATATACATATAATTTTTAAGATTTTTATTATCCTCCTAATTTATTATTAATTTCTAAAAAAATTATAATATCAAATAAATCAAAAAATTAACAAAACAACTTAACAAAAAACTGTGCTATGTAGGTAAATAAAAGCTACAAGTATGCTATTTGAGTAATTAAAAAATAAATACGTGCATAGGTTTATAATTTTAGTAATGTTTGTCAAATATCTAATGTATGTATTAATTAATATTATTTGATATTTAAAATTTATGACATGTAATTCTAATATATATATATATATATATATATATATATATATATATATATATATTTTAATTTTATGTTGAAAATATAAAAATATGACAAAAATATATATTAATATAATTTTTAACTAAATAATAAAATATTTTTATTATTAAGTTTACATGAATTTTTCATTTAATTATTATTATATTTTCACTATATTTTATATTTATTTAAAATAATAATTTATAATTATATTATTAGTTTTCATAATTATATTATTAGTCAATATTAATTATTATTTTATAATTATTTAATTATTAGTCAAATAATTTATTTAATATGTCAAAATTATTTTTTTATGGATATGTAATGCAAATAATTTTGTAATTGTTTATTTATATAATTTTTAATAACTATTTTAAAAAAATTTAATTTTTTAAATTTGTTTCCACTTACAAACACTTTTAAATTTTTTCTTTCTTTCAAATGTATAATCAATGTTAAAACATGGATAATTAATTAAAAAATTATATTTATAATAATTTTAACCTTATTTTATACACAAGGATAAAATGGTAATTTTCTTAAATAATCAATTAAATTATAATTTTTATTTCTTATATCAATCAAATCACTTACAATTTTCCATAAACTTTTCTTTCACTTTCCATTCATCCAAACAACTTTAATTTCACCTCCATTTTTTTTCAAATTCCTCCTTTTTCACACTCCCATTTCCACTCTCTCAAATCACTCCAACCAAACAAAGCATAAATATCTTCATAATAATAAATATCAACATTATTCATTTTACATATCCTTTTTCACTCCATATTCCATATCTTTATTTTTTTTCACATAATTTATATTATATTATTTATTTTAAGATTATAATATTTATAGAATTAATTATTTTATTTTTATATTAAAGTAATACAATTTAATATATAAAATTTTGATTAAATTTGCTAAATAATCTTATTTGAAAGACCAAAATTATAATTATCTACCACAATATTATTATATATAAAATATTTTTTTTTGTAATAAATAAAACAAGACAACCGTGGCTTATGTGAGAATTCTAAACCATTTATCCCTTCTTATGTGATAATTTTTTAATAATTATGTTATTTTATGAAATATTTGTTCATGATTAATTTTTGACAATATTTTTTTATTCAATAAGATATATTTTCCTATTCAAAATTTTGTATATACTTTTTTTTTTTTAAATCACATTAAACTAGTTAATTTAACCGGAAATTAACTTAAAAATCCATATGTTATTTTTAAATAATTAAAATTTAATAAAAATGGATATAAAATTAAAAAATTTAATTAAATTTTAGATAGATTTTGGTAAAAAAAATATCAAAATATTTAATTTTTTTAAAACATAATTTCCCTATAAAAAATAAGATTTTAAATTTTTTTTATCTTACATTAAGTATATAATATTTAAATAATAATTATCTTATTATTGTATTTGAAAAAAAAATTATTAAGAATAAACTAATTATATATTTAATTATATGTTTATTTTATAAAAAATTATTTTATGAAATCTAACTAAACACTATTAAAACTTTAAACATTGAATCTATGTATAACTGATTCAATGAAATTGTGGGTATCATAATTCTATATATCAATCATACCAACCTCTCTGGTCTATAATCTTCTAATTAACTATTTTTGTTGTTAAACATACAAAAGAAAAAGTAACTATGATCCTTGGTAATCCTACATTAAATATCCAAAGGGAAACTCAAACCCACGCAAATTCCTTTGATTCGAGGCATGCGGCTTCAGCTTGCTACACTTGCCATGGTGAATTTCTAGACTATCATCAAAAGAAAACCTAATGGAGAGAAAAACCAGCATTTGTTCACTTGTTTATGAAGTACTTGTGGGCATAATCGTGGAACCTTATTATGATTCCATGTCTCATTCTGTGCCCCACAAATTAACAAGGAACTTGTCTACATAAACGTGATGGTGCCACTGTGTCGTTCTTCTTGTACTTCGTGCATACACATATAGATTTATACTGATACGTGTACACGCATACAAAGCTCTACATATATACGGATCCAACATCGAAACAAAATACCTGTCACCACAAAACATGCATGGAATACTTCCATGCATGAAAGACAAAATGTTCATCTCCACATTACCCGCTGAAGCTTCAGGGCCAGATCTTTAAATATCATTTCCAAATCACCAAACATATAGTTTCAATGTTCTGCGCGGCTGTGCCTCCTCTGTAAATCGTTTTCTATCTATTTTTCAAAGCATTGGTGTTACTCACTCACTCTATATCTCTCTCCCAAGTTGAATCTTCAATTATTTCTGTGCTAGTGTCTCTTATTAATTTTTTACACTGCATTTCTGCATCTTATTTATGAGTTTTCATTGGACTTGTATAAATTAATTTGTTTGTCAATTTGTGTCTGACCAAGCTGGATTGCCAAAGATCTCATGGCAAAGATACATCACTACAAAAATGCAAATAAAAGTATAACATTATGATTATTATTACATACATTATATGTAAATATATATACATCAATTCAAATTCACAGTTACGAAGAATTCAATATAAACTTGATCTTTTTTACTTAGTGTAGCTCAGTCGAATTTTCTGACATCATTTTTCCTCGATAGTCGATAACCCTCCTGGAAGAGATTTCTCACGATAAACCACTAGTTACAGTAATTGTCATTGGGTGAAACCCATTTGCAGTTTGGGTCTAGATGAGTTTTGTTTCTGGTTCAGACCTTGTACTATAATTTCTATTAAGTAACTTCTCATTTGGCCATGCAAATATATATATATATATATATATATATATATATATATATATATATATATATATATATATATATATATATATATATATATATATATATATATATATAAGAGGAAAAACTAGCAAATTGTTGATACAAATGTTGCAGAGAGTGAAGATTCCTGTAACATATCCATGTGAGCAGTGCAGAAATATCATCACTGGATCATTCAAAGTTGAAAAGGGAAAATTGAGTACAATAAATAATGCCCTAATAAAAATAATATTAATGTGTGTGTGAGGAGGATATAATAGAGGTGGGAGTTGAATTATTGAGGGGGTCTGTGTCAGTGGCATGGTTTTGGATTGTCTGATGTGTGTGAGAGAAAGCATGGGGACCTCACTGAGAAGGACAGTATTCGATGGAGAAAATCACATTTGGTTATGACATGTAATGACTAGGCATAAGCAATAATTTTTTCTACTTTGAGGAGCCAACAGAGTATTTATGTCCACGTTCGCCGATGATAGATCAGAATTCAGGACCATCAGGAAAGACAGTTGTGTCTTTTTTTGCATAGTACTAACAAAGTATGTCAATTAAGTGAAGGAAAAATAAATGGTTCCTCCCAATGGTCCCTTCATCCACATGCTTTCATTCTCATGTGATAGATCCATCACCTAAATTATATCCCCATGCCATTGAGATATCAGGCACAAAATGGATACATAAATTATATCAATAGTTAAGTAATATAAACTTTTACACTTGTGTTTTATATTTATAATTCTAAAATTTATTTTAGTAAGTTTAACAGGTTTTTAATTATCCTGCTTAATTTATTAAATTAATGTGATGTTAATATGAGACAGAAATAATTTGAGAGAATAAAAGGATAAACACATTTAAATAAAGATAATTGGGAGACATTTTAACACTCTTCTCTATATTTTTATAGGATAACATACATTTTTCATTTTCAGTTTTCATTTCTAGTATAATAATAATAAAATTTCCATTTTTTTAATAATTATAAATTAAATGTTTGACTTAGTAATTATCACGTCTGAAAATACTATTGGTATGTTAATTTATTATATAATTTTTATATAATAGGTTTTAGTATAATGGATGAAAAATTATTATATTTAATATGATATATGTAGTATTATTATTACCAAGAAGACAAATGAATACAATCAACTGGGTGACACTAAAATATATTTTTTCAATAAAAAATATTATATATATATATATATATATATATATATTAAGATTTTTTTTCATACTCAAACTAGTTGACCCTATTCTCTCATCAAGCTATAAAACCTTGGGACACTGAATGATTCAAAGCTCAATAGTTTTAAGTTCTAAAAGAATAGGCCTTTTAAAAACCATTAATATAATTTTTTTTATTTAGACAAATTATTTTGGTTAAAAATAATACTTAAAAGTCAAGTAATTTTGTGTAAATAATTAAAATATCACTTATCCTCTTTTCCGCGTGGTAATGTCCAATTAAATTTATTTTAACTGAACAATTAACCTATATCAATACAGTTCAAATTGATGTTCTAAAAAAACATCAATATTTTTTTTCATGAAAAACATATTTAATCTTATTTTTATCCCCTCAAATAATTTAAAAAAATCTATTAATTCATTTTTTATTTTTTATATAATTAATTATGTTTTTTATTTTATTTTTTACTTTCTTCTTTGTTACGGAACGATCATAATGAAACATATATAAAAATAATAGTGCTTACGGTTCCAACTTATTCTAATTACAAAATATGCAATAACAGGTTAGATAATTTAGTCACATTATTTTATAAAATCATTTTCAAATCTAGCCACAGTTCATAACCAACTCCAAATTTGGATCATTTTTATGATATTTTTTTAATAATTATATATTAGAAAATTCAAAAAATATATATCAATAATTCTTACAAATAAATATATAAATTTTTAAATAATTTAATAAATTATTACCCAATATTAAATAATAATTCAGTATTAAAAAAACGTTAAATATATATTTGGATATACTTTTAATATTGTACTTGTTTTAAAATATATATCTGTTTTGTTACATAAACCCGTATAAACATTAATTTTCATTATTTTTAATAATTATATCAGTTTTTTCTATTAATACTTTTATCATCTTAATATTCTCACATCAATCAAAATACTGTTAAAATAATTTGTTATTTTTTTATTGTAATAAATATAATTAAAAGACAAAGATATAATTGATAGGAGAGGGATTAATGTACTCTTAAACTTTTCAAACAATCATATATTTATATAAAAAAAATACGCAAAATATATATTTTGAAATAAATAAAATAATAAACTCATTAATTATAAATATAATTTTTAATATTAATATTTATGTTTAAATTTAACTAATTAATGTCAAAAATTAATTCATAAAAGAGTATTCCTCCTCTTATCTTAGACCTATCAAAGATTTAAAGGCTAAACCTATATCAATCAAAGATTTCTAACTATATTTATTAAAAATTATGTCTTGTCTTTAATTCTTAAATAATTTAAAATGATAATTATTATATTTTTTATAAATAATGTAAAAAGATAATACAACCCTTCATGTGCAAAAGTGTGCAAAGATGTAGTAAAAGTTGTCTTTATAGTTATATAAAATCAATTATAACAAAATAAAGAGAAACGAAAAAAACACGTTTCAGGGTAAATATGAAGATTAAATTAATTCAATTTATAATTACATTTCACTATTCAAAATCAATTTCATGAACCTTAATTTTGTCAAATTCGAAGCAAAAGAAACTCTAAAGTCTCGTGTATATGTTTGAAACAATGACAGTCAATCTTTCAAAATTTAGAATATTTGTGAACATAATTGTCTTTGCAAATAAATCATCAAGTGGTAGTGGAAGTGCAATATGGGGACCTACCACAGGTTAAGGAAGTCACATAATGAACAACTTATCCAACTATATAGCTTTTCAAATATTTGATTATCATGGAAACTAGATAAACATTATCGGTTTAGAGAAGAAAAATGTACACAGGTCAATTTCTCCACCAACATCAACTTACCTTAGAACACAGTGACAGAAATCGCTTCTATTGACTCACTCTTGGTACATATCCATCACAAATTCCACTCTTATTAATGTTATCTTCACACCACTTTTTCATAATACAATTTGTATAATGCCATGGACAGATGTAAAAAAAAAAAAAAAAATGTAAAAACGGTTGAGAAAAGGTTCCATACAAATGATGTTATTCTAACTACAATTACCACATGTCCCTGAGTTTTCGAAAGAGTACTAACATATATTCATCTGCGTAGATACCTTTCTCTAACTTTATCTCTATTTTTTTTTTCTCTTGACATATCATAATATACCTATCATATCTATATTTATTTCTCTTACTCATGTTAGTATATTTGTTGTTTATATATATTTTTGTTTATAAAATTTCCTTCATGGCTCAAAAAAGGGTATCCACAAATCAACAATATACTAAATAATATATAGATGCAAACCAACCTTGCAACTTTGCAAGTAGCGCATGCCCAAACAAAAAGGTGAAAATATTTCTCTTCTGGTACTCTACCTAAGTTGTGGTGGAGAGAGATCCCAGTTAGCTCGTTCTTCACACACTCCTTTGCCTTCCAGAAATGGCAGCACAGACATTTTTGAACTAATTAATTCATCTTCTTGTACATCCCTCAGCTTTCAGGGTTTTCATGCACAGGCATATGTGAACATTGCTTTATATAAGTGGAGTTTTCTTTTTTTGGTTTGTTATCATTTACTCCAACAAGGTTGAAATCTAGATTAATATTCATGCTGGCCGTGTCACCTTTGAGGAGCACAACAGATGGAGAGCAAGGGGAGATGGAGAGTTTCTCAATTGGGGAGGACTTTGCTGACCTTTCAGAAGGGAATTTGCTTGAAAGCATCGATTTTGATGATCTATTCATGGGAATCAACGGTGATGGAGATGTCTTGCCGGATCTGGAGATGGACCCTGAAATGCTTGCTGAGTTTTCCCTCAGTGAGGAATCAGAGATAGTCTCATCAGTTTCAGTGGCAAATAACACATCTGATAACAGTAATGGGAATAATACAGTTACTACAGAAAAACAAGATGAGGTTATAGTAACCAATTTTTCGTCAGATTCTGGTTCTAATTCGGGGTCTAGTGGGGAGGAGATAGCAAGCAAAAATAATGAATCAACTCATTCAGTGGCGGTGAATCCATCCCCTAAGGAAAGTGAGAAAGGAAGAAAATCATCAACTCACTCAAGGAATAATCCTCAAGGGAAGAGAAAGGTGAAGGTGAGTTGTTATTATTGCTGTAGCTTTTATTTTCTTGATTCGGGAATAGGTTGTTCTTTATTAATTAGGTTAATCTCAAGAAAGTTCAATTGCAGTTATGGATAACTCTTTAAGGATCTGTCTCTATCTCTATTGTGGGTGGGTCTTCTAAAGTTGCATAGTCTGTCAAATAACTCACGGGTACCATTTAAGTTAAAGTGATAGAGAAAGAGAGAGATGCACTTAGTCTTAGAATTTTGGAATGGCTTTGATGTATTGTATTGTATCGTAGTAATGGGTTATGTTGTGTGTTTTCTTGGATTGTGTGAAGGTGGATTGGACCCCAGAATTGCACAGACGATTTGTGCAAGCAGTGGAGCAGCTAGGAGTGGATAAGGCTGTGCCTTCAAGAATTTTGGAAATTATGGGAATTGACTGTCTAACCCGCCACAACATTGCCAGCCACCTTCAAGTACATGTTCTTCAACTTTGTCTTCCTACTTACCTTCTATTTCTTCCGCAAATTTCATTCCCCAAGACTTTAGCAGGAGTCAACCCAAAAAAATGAAAAATAGATTATGCTTCTTATTATTATATTATTATTTTTCTTTGATACACAAACTGAATTCTAATTGAAAATAAGCAGTACAAAAGTGATACTCAAAATGAAAATTATTATCAGCAAACAAGTTTGCAGAGAGAGTATAATACCAGAGGTTAATTATTAACCTTTAGCCCTAAAAAGACAAAGATCTACTTGTTACTGTCTTTTTATGTGAAAAGCTTTTAAAGTTGATTAAATTTGTAAACCACACATTTAAATTTTGTTTATAGATTTATCAGATACTGTGTTGTTATTAGAATTTGACATATCTCAGTGGGTATGAAAAGACTTTGACAAAATATGACTCTTTTTTTCTTTTAAATTGGCATTTATAATGAAAATCTAAGTAAAATATGTAATTAAACTTAGGGTCTTATGTCATGTACATGAATAAAAAATGTATGGATAGTAAGAGGTTCTAAAGTATGCAGTTTTGGTCGCAGAAATATCGATCGCATAGGAAACATTTGCTGGCGCGTGAAGCTGAAGCAGCAAGGTGGAGTCAAAGGAAACAATTCATGGGTGCAGCAAGTGTAGGTAGAGGAGGAGGAGGAGCCAAGAGAGAAGTGAACCCTTGGCTTGCACCTACCATGGGTTTCCCTCCCATGACACCAATGCACCATTTTAGACCTTTACATGTATGGGGGCATCACACCATGGACCAGTCCTTCGTGCACATGTGGCCTAAACATCTACCATATACACCGTCGCCGGCAGCATGGCCACCGCGGACAGCTCCACCTCCGCCACCTCCAGACCCTCTTTATTGGCACCAACACCAACGGGTGAACTTTTTTGACTTTAAAAAATCCTTGCTTCATATTCAAACTCATTCAACTATTGAATCAGAACCCAATCACATCAAAACCCTCCTATTTGTCTGGGTAACAAAATAACTTTTAAATTCTAGATTTATTAAATACTCAAACAAAAGAAAACTACAATGAAGTTTTCTTCAGTTGAAGGTAATATGGGTTATACTAAAAAAAAGCAAACAAAAATCATTTAATTATGAATTTATCAATATCATGAACTAATCTAAAAAAGCCTAAGGTTGTCACATCTATTAACTGAACTAGCAGCAATCTGTGTCCTTCATTCATTGTATTTGAATACATAGGACAAGAAAAATAATAGTTAATTGACAGACACTTAAACTTTCTCCAAAACAACATGTCTATGAACCTATTTCTTTATGTTTGTCTGTCTCTCTAAATTAATAGGTATATTCTTGTTTGATACTGCAGGCTCCAGACGCACCAACCCCAGGAACACCGTGTTTTCCACAGCCTCTGACAACCACGGTAACTATTCAGCCTTACACTTTTGGAACCACTCAAGTTGTCTTCTCCTTCCAAATTTGGATCCTTTTGAGAACAATTTCACTGTATACAATTTTACAATGTTTGGTTCACTCACTATAGAATGATAATTCGCAGAGATTTGGCTCTCAAACTGTTCCAGGCATCCCTCCACACCATGCAATGTACCAAATATTAGATCCAGGAATTGGCATCCCAGCCACCCAACCACCACCTCGACCCCTCCTCGACTCTCATCCGGTAACTTTTCTTACTGAATTTCTAAGTATATGAATAGAAAAATGTTAATTTCTTGGGCTACGCCACGGTTATCTTTTTAGTCAAGTGAACTGATCTATTATATTTTTATTATAACATTAAAATATATATATATATATATATATATATATATATTGCTTAATAAAAATGTTATTTATATATATTTATTTATTTCTAAACCTAAGTTATTTGGATGTGAAAAATGTTTGCATGCGTACAAATTAACTCACGGTTTCTTAATTTTCCTTTCTGTGTTTCTTTAATTTCTTCTGTCATTTTCTTACTTCTCTTTCTATCATTCTCACTTCTGAAATCGCACAGTATACACACACATCGGTGTTCGTCCGTGTCTATAAAACCAAAGTTCTATTTGTTGGATTCTCGTGTTTCTCATAGGCTGTTAATTCCATTTTTCATTTTAACATTTAACAAAAAGAAACAAGAAATTTAAATTGAAACACATTTACAACACAGTTCAAGAGAGAGAGATATAGTTTATGAAGAGAAGATATAATATTGCAGAGTTAATTTAGCTTGTGTGTGCATGTTTTTTTTGACAGTCAAAGGAGAGCATAGATGCGGCAATTAGTGATGTTTTATCAAAACCATGGTTGCCACTACCACTTGGCCTTAAAGCTCCAGCACTTGATGGTGTAATGGGTGAACTACAAAGACAAGGGATTCCCAAAATCCCTCCCTCTTGTGCTTGAATGGCGAGTCTAAAGAAATGGTCTTTTATCCTCTCAGTGTGAAGGCCTCTAAACCCTAATTTGACGACTTCTCAACTCTCTTCCATGTATTGCATGCTATGCATGTTTGCTTGCTATCTTACTTCTACCATAAACTAAGAGGAGAGATAAAACTATATATATAACTTTTGGAACTTTCTCTGTTCATGTGCGAGTAAAATAAATGTGAGGTTATAAATGTGATTTTATATTAGTCTTATAGCTGATCATATGAGACTAATATAAATGATGAGGAATTGAAGTAAGTACTGTGAAACATTTATATTCTATATTTGGTAGACATTTTATTAAATGACTTGCTTTTAGATTTCGTGTGTATATATATATATATATATATATATATATATATATATATATATATATATATATATATATATAAAACTTTACAAGAGTATAATTAATCATTATTATACTAAGTGAATTACATAATTAAATGGATATATAAAATTTTAGCTTTTTTTTCTCTCAGAATGAATGAATGTTGACCTATATATATATATATATATATATATATATATATATATATCATTCATTAATTTAAAATAAAATAAAATGAGAGAGATAGAGACGGAAAGAATGATATAGTACAAAATTTAGATTAAACAAGCAAAGGTGTTAAAGACCATATTTTCTCCTGATTAGAAATTAATATCTCCCAAAAGTTAGGAAAACAAATAATGTTATTGACTTATTGATTGTAATGAATAATCTTTTTCATGAAATTTTAGGTTTATGTACTCTGAATCAATTATTATTATTATTATTATTATTATTATATAAATAGATATTCATCTAATAACTTGAGTTTTGTATAAAAGGTTTTTTAGTCAAATGACTGTTTCATTTGGTTTACAGTGAAGTAATTAAAAAATATTTTTTTTTCTCTCGCTGCATGGTTTTTTTTCTCAGGTGATTATGTTTTGATTATTCAGGAATTTATTTTTTTTACACAATTGGATATTGTGTTGATGTTAATAATGCTGCTTAAAAAAAAAGATAAGATTAAGGTATTAGGTATCAAAATTATCCTAATCATTGTGTTGATGGTAAAAATATCTATTTTTTTTAGAAATAAAAATGTTATAAGTCATTGATCTCGATGGCTAGTCAAAGGCTTGTATCTGCAATACTTAATGTTCAGATAATTCTAATAATATGACCAGTTTTTTCAAATTTATGAATTTGTAACAAGACATATAGTTTGAATGAGGAAGAGATTTCATGCAATCTGAATTATGAGATTGGTTTAGATATTTAAACCAGAAAATATCTCAAATATAGAGATAATAATTAATCTCGTATATGTATTCATTTTACTTCAAATTTTCCAAAGAAAAATCGAGTTGATTAGGATAGAGTCCGGTCCCATCTCAATCTCTACCCGATTTTATATCTAAATTTAAATTTTAAAATATTAATATTTTAAAAGTTTTTTTTCTTTTTTTATTATATATAAGATCATTTTTTTTATATTTCATCATACTTTTCTTTTACACACTTTTTTTAGAAGTAACTAATATTATTTTATTTATAATTTATATTTATTAAATTTTATTATGTCATCTTTTTTTATCTTATCGTTCTTATTTGTCATATATCAAATTTTATCTTAATAAAATAATCATATATTAAATGATTAAAAAAATTAATAATTTAAACTTTTATTATTTTGAACTAATTAAATAAGAATTAATTTATTAAATATTTTTTTATAAATTATATATTTTATATTTTTAAATGACAAATTAAGAAGAAATTAACTTTATTTATATATATATATATATATATAAATAAAATAAGTAATCAAATGTTTGAATAAAATATAATAATAATAATAATAATAATATAATTATTCAAATATTTAAATATAATAATAATAATATTATAAGTATTTTATAACAATATAATTAGATATTTTTTTTACATACATATTTTAATATAAATATAATAAATTAAAATATATATTTAATTAATAATAATTACAAACTGTGTAATTATAAATATTTATTTATGTATAAAAAATACATAAAATTAATAAAATTAATTTACTATATATATATATAATTATTTTTTAAAATAATATAGATCGAAAACAGTAACTAGGGCAGAGAAATTCAAAACCCAACAAAAAAGAAAATGAAAACTTAGACTTTAATCTCAACAAGAATCAAAAACGAAGACGATAATAATTAAAAAAACTGGGGACGGGACTCAAGGAGTTAGATATGAAAATTAATCTTGAAACACTTTTATTTAATTATATATTTATCTATATATCATAATATTATCATATTTTTATTTTATACAATATTTTATTACATTTCTTACCGATTTTATCACTTTTTTTTAACAAAATTTTTTATTGCATTTTTTTGTATTTGAGAAATATTTTCATTATAATTTATCATTTTTAGGATGCTTTTTTTTATCATATATATTTTTTTAATTTAACCTTATTTTTTTAAGTTCATGAATCCATTAAATACAATTTCCTTGGAAAATGGTTGTTTTGGTTCGTGGACGTAGGCTGGTAATGTCATACGCTTAGCGGTTCATGTTATGTTTTTTTAGGTTTGATTTAGTCATATATGATGCCACGGAGTTATTTAAAAAAAATTATATCAATAGATTAATTTTAATTTTAGATAAAATGTTTTTATTTATAAATTATAATATATCTATATATCTTAATAAAATAATATTTATTTTTTTAAATTATCGTTTTATAAAATATATTAATTTTTAAATGAAGAGTAAAAAATAACGGAATTCAATTGAAATTATTTCACTTAATTTTTGTCGTGACTATTTATTATAGTTAAAGTTATTTTGTTCAATTTAAAATAATTTTTAAATTAAAATATTAAATAAATATTTTCAACTTTTTTAAAATTATTACTAAGGCTTTGTTTGGTTGGAGTGATTTGAGAGAGTGGAAATGAGAGAGTGGAAAAGGAGGGATTTGAAGAGAAATGGAGATAAAGTTAAAGTTGTTTGGATGAATGGAAAGTGAAAGAAAAGTTTATGGGAAATTGTGAATGATTTGATTGATATGAGATATAAAAATTATAATTTTAATTGATTATTTAAAAAAATTATCATTTTACCCTTTGTATAAAATAAGGTTCAAATGATTATAAATATAATTTTTTAATTAATTATCCATATTTTAACATTGATTATATATTTAAAAGAAAAAACAAATTTAAAAGTGTTTGTAATTGGAAACAAATTTAAAAAATTAATTTTTTTAGATAGTTATTAAAAATTATATAAATAAACAATTACAAAATTATGTACATTGCATATCCATATTCAAATAATGTTGACATATTAAAAAAATTATTTGACTAATAATTAAATAATTATAAAATATAAAATAATAATTAATATTGATCTGATAATATAATTGTACATTATTATTTAAAACAAATATAAAATACAGTGAAAATAGAATAATAATTAAAGGAAAGATTACTAAAATTATAAATCTATGCACACTAATGCTCTTCAAACAAATAATTATAATGTTATCCATCTTTTGCAATCAAGTCCTCCAGGTTCGGATCATTCAATCACCTTCATTCAAGAACATGAACAATCTGGGAGAGGCGAAGATGTGAGGGCAAGCCAAAAAGTCGTCTAACATGTGATGGGTGAGTACACAAATGATTATAACATCTGAAGCATAAGTTGCTCGTTATTTAGGTACAAGTTTTCAAATGATCGATTATTTTGCCAAAATGATCGATCACTTTTCCAAAACCTCGACACTTTAGATAGCGGTTCACCTCGAACCCCTATCATATGTTCACATATGATAGCGGTTCCAGAATAACCGCTATCTAAAGGCTCCGAATTTGAATTTATTTTAATGTATAATTATATATATATATATATATATATATATATATATATATATATATATATATATACTATATACATATTCTAAAATATAATTTATATTAATTACTATAATATAAAATATATATTCCACAATATTACTAAAATTTATATATATATTATAGAAATGAAAATCAATTATATTTGAGAATATATAATTTTGATAGAAAATTATATATATATATATATATATATATATATATATATATATATATTCTAAAATATAATTTAACATTTTGAATTACGAAAGGTTTTCTCTAATAACAAATTAAAAAACATAATATTCAAAAAAAATATTTTAAGATTCGAGTCTCGGGTTGTATTTCGCTCGAGCGATTATACTTTCGCTCGAGCGAAAAACCATCCTGATCGATCATAATTGGAGGATATCATAGCGGTTCCTTTGTAACCGCTATTTAAAGTATATATTAGATAACGGTTATGGTTTAACCGCTATTACAAGTTATATTTCGCTTGAGCGACATTAAACTCGCTCGAGCGAAGACACCTGCACATAATTTTCATCCTCGGGTTGTTTTTCGCTTGAGCGAAACTGATCTCGCTCGAGCGACTAGCAAAGTATGATCTCGTTCGATTTATTTTAATCGATTAAAACACGTTTTAATCGATTAAAACCACTTTGGAAGTCAGGATGATCGATCAGAATGTAATTATGACCGATCAGAGTTGGTTATGATCGATCAGAATTGAATTATGACCGATCAGACTTATTTCAATCGATTAAAACAAATTTCAATCGATTAAAATGACTTGAAAATTTTTGTACAGAGTTTCAATCGATTAAAACGCATTTCAATCGATTAAAATGACTTAGAAAAATTACATGCAGGTTTTTAATCGATTAAAACTTCTTTGTATCAGCTTAAAATAACTTGAAAAGTGTTATAAGAAAGTTTTAAACTGAATCAATCGATTAAACCGCGAATCAATCGATTAAATCACTCTTAGAAAATGTTTGTAAAAAGTTTTAAGCTGATAAAAACTTGGTCGTATCAGCTAAAACAATTCCGTTAAAGAACAAGAACGCATTAATGGGTTGAAAGGACTTTTAACAGATTATAACGGCTATTTCAACAGATTAAAACAAACTTTGAACAGATTAATTAATGCAGTTTTTTCTGAAAACTCTTTTATAAACAGAATTGCTTGGAACTTTTATCATATCAGTTTTTAAAAAAACAAACAAATCAATTTATTGGGTGAACCAGTATAACAATTGCTTGGAACCCAGCTGGAATTTGGCTGGAGACTGGACGTAGCCCTGGTATTGGGTGAACCAAGTATAACATTGATTATATATTTAAAAGAAAAAACAAAATTAAAAGTGTTTGTAATTGGAAACAAATTTAAAAAATTAACTTTTTTTAGATAGTTATTAAAAATTATATAAATAAACAATTACAATATAATTTTCTACTTTGAGAATTAATAATATAATTAAACATCAAAATTGAGAATACTCTTATACATTTTGAACTCTTTTGGATAAATTTTGTTTCCCTAATTTTTGATAAAGTTAATTTTAATATTTAAATTTATTAGAGGTTAAGGTTTAACCTCTATTATAAGCTCCCTTTAAGAATGGTTCTTAAAGTGTTCCATCAACTCTCTGCTACTTCTCAATTCTCGATTGAATCGGTGCGAGTCGGATTAAAGAAAGTAGAGTCGGATGTTATTGCCTTTGCCCCCACGCTAGCTTGCTCTCTAATCCCACTCGCTGATTGGATTGAACCGAAAAAGCGGAGCTTAGGTAGGCTACAGCAACTCTCAAAGCGTGAGCTCATAAGCCGTATTTCGCTCGAGCGACTATATCTCGCTCGAGCGAAATACGATCCTGATCGATCATAAGTTGAAATGATCGATCATAATTGGAGGATATAATAGCGGTTCCTCTGTAACCGCTATCTAAAGTATATATTAGATAGCGGTTCCGGTGGAACCGCTATCATATACAATCATATTTTAATTTCTTGAGTCTCGGGTTGTGTTTCACTTGAGCGACTATATCTCGCTCGAGCGAAATATGATTCTGATCGATTAAATTTACGAAATGATCGAGCATAATTGGAGGATATAATAGCGGTTCCTCTGTAACCGCTATCTAAAGTGATATATAATAGCGGTTAAGATTTAACCGCTATTAGAAGTGATATATAATAGCGGTTATGTTTTAACCGCTATTAGAAGTGCTATTATAATAGCGGTTAAGATTTAACCGCTATCATATGGAAGAGGGTAACTTCGCCATTTCATTATTTCCAGCAGACTTTCACCTCTTTTCTTCGCAGATCAGCGAAGAAAGTCTCTCTCCCCTCTCCCCATTTTCCTCGCCTGCATTTCTTCGCAAATCTGTTCAACCAAATGTGGGTGAATCTCGTGCTTCTGTCTTCGTGAACAGTATTTCGTCGCAAATCAGTTCAAATAAACAGGGGCTAAATGTATTTTTAAAAATTAAATTTAATCAAACATATAGTTAGGAATTAAACGTTAATTTCTCTCTGCAAATTTTATACTTTAGACTTTGTTGGTGGTCCAACTAACGGAATATTTGGACTGAAAGAACAAAAACTGATCTATGTTTGGGCCCAGTCAAAAGGAAAAGTTGGGCTTTCAAAGCCTGAATAAAGCCCATGTTGTGTCAGTTTCCCCATAAAATTTGCTATGTTTCCATAAATTGACCTAATTTGGGGGGTCACTGTCGGACATAAAATATAAAGTCAAAGTGTTCTGACCTATGCATCCCAAAAGACATGTTCTTGTTGGGTAATTGCTGTTTCTACATGTCCACACTACCTTTGTTTTTCAATTTCTCTCCGTTGATCACGCCACGGTTAAAAAAAAAAAAACTGTCGCTTCAACATCACTCCAAAACGAATCGAGAATATCAAAAGAAGCAACCTGCTTTTCACTAATCATGCTGGTCATTGAGCTCACTTTACCATTTTTGCTTCCAAAATCCATAGAAGACACTTTAATTGATGAGCCAGAGGACTAGAATCATCTTGGGCAATGAATTTGATTATTCTTTAAGCAAATGCCATACCCCATCTTGCATCACTTTTTCAATGCCTTCTAGAATCAGTGGTTAATTACGAGATCACTGGGTTGGTGTAACTAAATGTGATTGATTAATTATAGAGCCTGCATTGCACTTATATACTCCAGTTAAATAAACGACAAAACCATAGTTATCAATGTTCTGTATTACTGATAAACTGATATATTGTGTGATTCTTAATAACAAAAGTAGTTTGCATTGAATATGACTTTGTTTGTCAAATATGTGATTAAAGTTTGAATCTTTAAACGCGGATGCATGAAAAAAATACTATTAAATATATCCATTCTACGAACGAATTTCAGTATTTTAAGTTATCAACGACTAAAATAAGTGATGTGACTTCCCTGTTTCCAAGTTTCACAATCCCACTTACAATTGTTTCATCATAATTGCCTAAAAAACTGGCCCGCCAATTAAGTTTGGAATTCATATTGCAGGGAGGACTCATCTCAGCAACGAAAAAGGAACAAAATAAAATGCCACTTTTTGACTTGGATCTTATTTCTGTCTCAGCACTACACATCTTTGTGTTTCCCATGCTAATGCTGGCATTATCAAACCTTGCACATGCAGCATGGCATGGAAGTCATTATCATACCCCACACTAATATTTCTTCCTTCCACAATCCCCGCATAATTAGCCGGCCTTTGATTTATAGCAGCTGGATCTTTCTATAAAATGAACCCAACAAAATCACTTTCTCTACACCTCTCTCTCTCTCTCATTCCACACTATGGCTTCTTTTGGGAACCAACTATCTTTCTTTTTGCTCATGGTGCTTCTTGTCTCCCCGCAAATTCAAGCCAGAGAAGGCAAGCTCTTCAGCTTGTTCTCCCATTTCAGAACCATCTATAATCTCAAAGATCCTCTTCAGAAAACTAAAGTTGAATCTCCAGCATTAGCACCAGGACCAGCGTTAGCACCAGGACCAGCATCAGCACTAGGACCAGGACTCGAACCAGCGTCAGCACCAGGACCAGCACTTGAACTAGTTTCAGCACCAGCGCCAGCACCTTCCGTTGAACAAGCAATTGGGTCAACAATACCATCTGGGGCAGCACCAGAGCCTGAATTTTTGGACAGAGGAGAGGGTTATGGTCTGTATGGTAGGGACTCTTATAGCCAATACTCTCACACCAAAGAAACTCCTACCACCACCACAACCTTTGAAAATGAGCTTCTCAATGAAGACTTCAATGATGAGAGCTACAAAACAGGCTACCCCAAAACCAATTTCTACAGTAACTACAAGCACAATGAAGAGTTCAGAAACAATGCCAACAACAATGAAGAGTTCAGAAACAATGTCAACAACCATGAAGAGTTCAGAAACAATTTCAACAAAAATGAAGAGTTCGGCAACAAGTATGAAGAGTTCGGAAACAATGGCAACAGGTATGAAGAGTTCAGAAACAATGTCAACAACAATGAAGAGCTCTTCAGCAACCATGACAACAATAACGAAGAGTACAGGAACACTTACACGGATGGCTACTCTAACAACAACTACAATGAGAAGGGAAATTACCACAACAACAACTATAACAGCATTGGCTATCAGGGAAAGAGAGAAGGAATGAGTGATACAAGGTTCCTGGAGAATGGTAAGTATTATCCTCATGTGAATACTGTTAATGAGAATTTTAACCTTAATGGGTACGAATCAGGGAGAGGGAATACTGCTGAAAGTGAAGGTTACTACGAGAAAAGTCAGTATCCTAACGAGTTTGACACCATGGAAGAGTACGAGAAACAGCAGGAAGAACAAGGTTACAGGCCTTGAGTGTTTTTAGCTTTTGTATTTTTGTGTGGTAAAACAGTGAGAGTGAGAGAGAAACACAAGACTTGCACATTGAAGGGAAAATACCAAGTTATGGAGAATTGTATTACTTTCTAGTTTCATCCTTGATCTTGCAGAGTTTCATGTTTTGCAGATCAAAGTGATGGAAAGTATGCAGTGTTATCATTTGTGCATTGTGAGGTTCTATCTTTTTTGGTGTTTTTCCATTTGGAAAAACTATATAACTTTATGTTTTCATGTAACAATTTCAAGGCACAAAACTTGATGCCTTATTATATAATATGACAAATTTCTACCTCAGATTCCTTTCTTATCCTTATTATCAATAACTAAAAATTATTTAGAATTTGTCTCGAGATACAAAAATTAAGATCAGGAGGATGTTAGAAGGGGCTCAACCTTTTCCCTCCCTATGTCCCCAAACTACAGCTTCCCTACAGCAAATTAAGTTACCAATTAAAAAAAGCTATAAATTGAGCAAAAACTACCCTTACATTATATCTTTACTTATATCTCTTATTTTCCAGTCGGTGTTATTTTTACTTAACTATATACAATTACTAATGATGAAATAGGAAATTTAATACCCTGAAATGGATCTGGAAAAACATGATTTGTGCATGCTTTCTGAATCTATTAGTGATAATCATTAATGCTTCTAAGAACTCCTACAATTGTGCTGAAGCATAGAAGTGGCATACTCATTACTGGAACAATTGATGGATCCAAAGTGGTCTCTTTAACTTACAGAACACAACTTTAAAGGGCAATGAGTATCAACCAAATTAACAACGCAATCTGTCTAAGTTGTTCTGGCCATGAAAATATATAGTATGAGAAGTTATTTCAGATTAAAAACCCTTTATTTACAGTCCTCTTTTGATATTTTTCTCCTATGTTAGTTGAGTCACAGACCACATATGCCAGTTGTCTAAATAGAACATTCACCTTTTTCTTTTTCTTCTCTTTTACCACTTCTTTTTTGCTTGTTTCTTTTTCTTTTTGCAATTTCTGTTATGGTGGGTATGAGGGTATCCTAAGGCAACTCCAATAAAAAAAAGGTATGGTTCAGTGAAACATGGTACTGAATACTGGATTGCCACTTACAGAATTGTTATAATTAATTGAAAAGCTCAAGTTCTAGATACCTAGGTATTTCAAAATATGTTGGTCCACTAGAAAGAATTGATAAATAGATATAAATAAAAAGAAATGTGATCTAAATATATTTAAGTTATGATTAAGATGAATTTAGGTGAGATTAATTGGTAGTAGATTATTTGATAATAGATCACGAGAAAAAAAATTATAAAATTATAGAATAATAATTATTTTTAAATAAAATAAAAGTAATATTATTTTATTAATATATATATATATATATATATATATTATAAATTAATTTGATAGAATTTATTATAATAAATTTTTTATAATAATTTATTTTAAGATTTAATGATTAAGATTAATTATTATTTTAAATTAATAAATTATTAAAAATAAGAAATCAGAATAAGTTTTTAATTTTTATGTTATATTAAATAGATGTATTTTCTTATCATTTATATAATAAATCATTATATTTTAAACATAAATTAATTTTATTAATAAAATTTAAATTTTTAAAATATATTTTTATTTTTATTTTTTATTTAATTAATTAAATTGTATAAATACATCAATATATATATTTTTTAAATACATTAGTTTAAAATTGACGTATTAGTTTAATGATCTAAATAGGATTATATTAGACTACAATTTTTAATTCATTTTAAAATATAAGTTAAATTAAGTTATAAATTTTGTTTACTTGATCTGTTGGATGATGGACGAACCGTTTTCACAGTTCTAATTATATTAAATAATCGAAAAAAATATAGAGGTTCAAGAATATTCGTGTTAATGTAATGGGGTCGAAAGGTTTCTTACAATGCTTTCCCATATTCTTAACTCATGCTATCATTTGCATTAAAAATATAAAAATATATTTCACTTGCATGTTATGTGTTGTTCATAATTTCATTAGGACGGATATGCAAGCGATCCTTTGTTTACACAATATATACAAAAATGTTCACTTGAAAGTTAAAGAATCAAATAGAAACATTATTTGAAAACGTATGCAGTTACACTTATTTTAAATATTTGTTGTATGTGTGTACATTTCAAGGTCGATTGGCTCAAAGCTACGAAATGCAATTGAAAAAATGAAAAAAAAAAACCGTGAACCTTTTAATATTATTATTTGGTTCTTATTATTATTTGTGTAGTTTTTCATAAATAGAAACTAAAAGTATTGTTAAACGGTTGACAAATAATTGTTGTTAATAGGTATTATTAATTTCTATAACAATTAAAATATTGCTGTTTTTATTACTTGTGTAATTGTTGCTTAAAAGAAAATGAATTAAAAATACCTATGATTTCAGTTTCTTAATTTGAATTTAAAATTATTTGTGAAAACATTGTTATTGTTGTCAGTAATTGATTGAGAAAATTTATAAAATTGACATCTTTTGAAACCAAAAACCAAAAATGCTTGAGATTAAGAGCTAAAAAAATGTTTTGTTTGTTAAAGATTTTAAAACTTAAAAATTCACCCAAACAGGTACTTTAATCAAAATCTGTTGTGATATGCGGTTTTAGACTCATAAATAAGAAAATATAGAAAAATACCAAAATGCCCTTTAAGTTATTATGAAGAAGAAAACAGTCACTTTAATAACATTTTCACATGCAAAAAAGAAGTCGTCTATTAAGAAAAAATTCACGTCAAGCCAGCCTAATATATTAAATAAATTCCCATTCAAAAAAATGTGAGAGGAACTTGTATTTTTTTTTCTTCGTTTGAGTAGAAAAGAAAATAAGTAGAAATTAATAAATTTTTTATTTAATTGTAAAGAAAGTGATAAAAAAAATTGTCATTTTTCATTGTAATGAAAATATTTACTCCTCGTTAAAAAGAGAAAAAATTATATGCGAAACATTATTTGATTAAATTATCCCCTGATCGATAAATATTCTAATAATATAAAAATAACTGTATAAATAATTTTGTACATTAAATAATAATTTTTATTTTCTTTCATATCACTTTTTCCTCAAATGAATAAGTATATTTTTATTCTATTTCACCTCTCTGTTTATTCTTTTCTTTCATTTTCTTTTATCGCAATTTTTGTCCTTATAGTCTGAAAAGATGCCCAAATTGCAAACCTAAAATGATTTTTTGATTAATTAGGGGAATTAGTTTATAATAGAATTAATCTTTACAATTAATTTTTCATATCTCTAGATCAAATTTTATCTATATTTGTAAAATAAATATCAATAATTAAGAATAAATTTATATCACAATTTAAATAATTTATTATAACTTTCAATCATTTAAAATATAAATATCATGACTTAAATTCACTTTTGATTCTTATATATTCATAAATGTGTAATTCTATTTTTTATAAATATTAACTATATATTTTATTATCCAGATTAAAAACTAAACACTTATGGTTTACTACTCATGCAATCCAAATTCTAGCATATGTCAATGCGTCCGCTCATGATATCAGTATTAGTTATCTATTGAATTAAAATGTTTAACAATGTTTAATAATAAACTCTATTACTAAAAATACGTTAGTATTTATTGTTAATGATTACGTTATATATTATGTTCAGTCGAAGTTTAATTTAAAAAATCTGAAAGATCAAAGGTGCTATTGATTATTTTATGGGAATTAAAAATACTATTAAAATCAAAAGTGGATTTAACCAAATATCTCTACAATTCACTGCTAAATACTAAATGTTTTTCATGCAACTACCTATTCATATAACGAAGCTAGATCAGAAAAAAAAATTAATAATATAAGATTAATATGTTGGCAAACAAAAATTGATAAAAAACACAAATAGCATTGCCATATCAAAGCTTAAAATTTAAAGCAGGGTTAAAATAACTAACAGTAAGACTTTTGCAACAAGTAATATACAACAATCATCCACCTTTAATCAAGTTAATAGAAAGGTTCTAATTTAAAAACATGACCAGGTATGAATTTCTGGTTAAGCTCGCCTTTTTCTATCATCTTCCTCGTCATCATCAGAATCACCACTCTCACGAAACCGTGGATTTTTTTCCTGCCCATCGTGTCAAGTAATTGATAAGAAACAAATTCAATGACAAAAATTACGAAAAAATATGATAAATCAAGCATCATGCGTTTAACTGATGTATGCTCTACAACCTAATAATATCACACAATAGAAGTATGGCAATAACAATTATAGTAAAATAATTTATCCGAATAGGTCTGAGGTATCATTCAGATTTGTAGAGAATCAATACCGGTCTAGATTCATGGTCAGTGTTCCGACGAGAATCGTGATCAGAAGTTCTTTTTGAGGACTCGTGTGAGTGGCGGTCATCATCTCGGTGTCTCTTTCTATGGTAATCTATCATGTCAAAGAGGCAAACGAGATTTATATTATTAGTAAATTAATTCGTAAAATAGTTACAGCACACTTCTAAGTGCTTTTAAAAGAAATCCCTGCACATGAGATTTTATTGAAATGAAAGTATGAAACTACCTCTACCATGCCGATGAGAACCACCATGACCATGGCCATGACCTCCACCGTGTCTACCATCTGCAAGAGTAAAATTGTTGAAGGTTTAATTCACGAGTACAAACTCATGGCAAATGATAATCACCAACAATCTTAAAATATACAAGGAAATTAGGTAACAGAAAAAAGGAAATCAACAGAACAAGAGAAGGCTGGTTCCAATGAGACTAACACGTGCTGGTACTCTCACCTGAATGGAGGTCCTTAGATTTAAAGTATATATATGGTATCTAATACATTGAACAAAATTTCTAATTGAATGTTGAACGAAAATATGCCAAGGACTAATATATATATATATATATATATATATATATATATATACATAACAGTATAATCCGATAAAA